ATAGCTGAAATATTTGTTAAGAAATGGCTGACAATTGTTTTATTAGACAGTTGTCTAAGCTTCTCTTTTATGACTCCTTTTAATTTGTCAAGCAGTGAATTGATTTACTGCTTATGGTGACAAGTTTGTGTTCATGAGTCGACTGTGGGCTCTTTCTAACACTCTGGTTGATCCTCTAGGTAAACGCAGGTTCAATATCAAACTGTGGAAGACTTTTACTGACTGTTTCAACTGCTTGCCCATCGCTGCCATAGTGGATGAGAAGATCTTCTGTTGCCATGGAGGTATTGAGACCTGGGAGTGAGACCAGGTTCAGGTTTATGATAAAAACAAAGTCCTGTAACTCTTGTCTCTCTCTCTCTTTCTCTCTCTACATATATTTCTGTTTCTCTCTCTCTCTCCATCAGGACTTTCTCCTGACCTCCAGTCTATGGAGCAGATCAGACGAATCATGAGACCCACAGACGTGCCTGACACAGGTAGCTTAACACACACACACACACACACACACACACACACACACACACACACACACACACACACACACACACACACACACACACACACACACACACACACACACAGACAGAGAGAGCAGACCAGCTGGGCATCAAGCCAGGCAAAAGGAGAACTTAGAAACAAATAAAGGGTAGAAATGATGATGCTGCTTCACACATCTAATGAAACGATCTCACTCCAGCCCGAGGCTAGTTTTTTTTTATTTTTTATAAAGTAACGGAAAATGGTCCTGTCTTTTTATTTTTCTACAAGAAAAATCCAGAAGAATGATGTGTTCATCAGTTTATGACCATCTCCTACAGTATTATTATCCATAGCACCTCTATAAGGTTGCAGAGTGGCCTAGTCCAAGTTTGAATCCAATTGAGAATTATGGTTAATCACTCAACAAAGAGAAATTGCAAGTTTTGCCAAAGCTGTGGAGTCGATGAATTTTTCTGACAACCTGATGTAGCCTGAAGGAAATTATAAAAAAAAAAAAGAAGCAACAAATCATCTATGGCAATTCAAGAATAAATGAGAAATGAAACCTGGATCAGAGTGGAAAGAACAGAAAGTTCACTTTGACAGAAGCCAGGTGACCATGTTGCCCCACTGGCCCTCTGACCACCAGCAGGCAAGGCGGGTCAAATGTTTTGCCCAAGAACTCGACAGCAGAGGTGGATGGAGTTGGAACTGAAGTGGCAATCCACTGATTGCAGGGTGAACTCCTAGCATCATTATGACAAAAAAAACACTGAAAATGTCATTTAGCCCTGTGGGGAATAAGTAAATCCTGGCAGCCTGCCAGGCTGATGATACACTGGAGAAACTCTGGAAGCCATTTTGAAGGTTTTGTGACTCCAGTAAACCAGTCACGACTAAAAAAAAGTTTGAAGAATGACCCTTCCCAGAAATGACTGGCCAGTTGTCAGGATTATCCAGCATGAACTTTTTCTCTCAGGTTAGGTCTCTGCCTTGCACATTAGCATTAGCCTTTTACCTTAAATGAGGTATTAGCTATTTCCCTTACTTACCATGTTTAGTATACTGAATGCAGTAAGTCATGCTTGTGACTCTCTACTCGCTATTGATGACATTGCATCTTTCTTTAGCATGGATGCTAATGTTTAGCATCAGAATGCTGGGTCCAAAGCGACAGGCACACTTTGGCAAGCCCCGGTTAAATTTCTTCAGGAATTATCACTTGGTTTACATAACGCCTGGTTGGTTTGAATAGCTAGTTTCCCTTCAATAAAACCTTTATTTGGATTCAACAGAAGCTGACTTGGTGTTTCTTGTCTGTACAACACATTTAAGTGTGAAGGTAAAATTGTATTAACTTCTTCAGGGGGTAAAAGGTTTTTCTCAGCCTCTCCTACGCTGACCTTTTTAGCCTTTTTAGCCCATTTTCCCTTTTCATCCGGATGAACCAACGTGAACTCAGGTTCTAGTGAACTCTTCCTGTTTCTCTGCTGAATGATTTGTGGTCTAATGTAAGAACAGGAGCTTCTCCAGCCTTATTCCCCGTTTTCGACTTGTAGCTGGACCAGAGGAAGAGGAGCCTCTCTGTGTTCACCCCCTCATTAAACCTCTTCCTGTCCTTATAAGGCAGCTGGAGTTAAGACCCTGGCAGCCTCCGTCTCACATCCTCTTATGGAGTTTCACCATGGCTCCGTGTCTGCATGTGAACGCTTCACAGAAGAAAAAAAAAGGCCTACCAGTGTTTCCCTGCAACCAGGTGACAAGCTAGCGACGGATTCTGACGTTTTGTTTCTCTTCTTTCCCCCTCCAGGTCTTCTGTGTGACCTGCTGTGGTCGGACCCCGATAAGGACGTGCAGGGCTGGGGGGAGAACGACCGCGGCGTCTCCTTCACGTTTGGCGCCGACGTGGTCAGCAAGTTCCTCAACCGTCACGATTTGGACCTCATCTGTAGAGCTCACCAGGTACCACAGCTCCTTCCTACCAGAGATTTTTCTCCCCTGCTGTAAAGGCCTTGGCTGAATCTTGTGTCCGACGCCCCCAGGTGGTAGAAGATGGGTATGAGTTCTTCGCCAAGCGGCAGCTGGTGACTCTGTTCTCAGCTCCCAACTACTGCGGGGAGTTTGACAACGCCGGTGGCATGATGAGCGTCGACGAAACTCTGATGTGCTCCTTCCAGGTCTGTCGCCATAGTAACTGAGCCGGGATCCTTTAGAAGCTAGATTTTCATGTGAAGTGATTCTGACAGGAAGTTGTTGCTTAGCCCAGAGGTTCCCAAGCCTTTCCACATACACTGGGCCCCCAAACAGCATCTCACTTTTTTCACTATTCTAATTATATTTTAGCATAAATTCAGCCTCATATGTTCTGGTTTTAGTTGATGAAGAATATTTAGGGTCTTTGCAGCAGATTCCTCCTCAGCTTTACTGTTCCTTCTGTTGTCATTCATAAAAATGGTAAGTTATTTCAACTTGTAGTTTGAAATAATGATTGAAAAAGAAATCAGATCTTTGGATAAAAATTTCAGCTACATTTCTTCTATTAAATTTATTTTGCTTTTACTTTTTCACCACCTTTCCTCCAGCTTTCTGAGCGCCATCTGGTGGCCCGCTGGGTTTACTGCAGCCCCAACTGCATACTTTGATAAAAGTATGGAAGTGTATTGGATCATTTTCCAAATCCATATAAGAATGGGAAAATGAAAATTCAGAATATTTAGAGAAAAGAAAAAACTTCATTTTCTATTAATTTAACAATTATACACAACTTGGTGTTGATTCATGTAGTAAAATCATAAGTGTTGTGTCAGCCTCAGTGCTATTAATGCAAAGGTCTGCTTTGTTCAATATTAGGTCATAAAATTCAGATATGTTGCCATGGAGATGTTTGACACTAACAAATATTTACTTAAAACTCAAGAGTTCAGCTCATGTTGCCAGGTAGAGCTGCTGGTCCAGTAATAACCGATTCTTCTTCTTCCTCCTCCCAGATCCTGAAGCCGTCTGAGAAGAAGGCCAAGTATCAGTATGGAGGGATGAACTCCGGCCGGCCCGTCACGCCGCCCCGCACAGCCCAACCCCCAAAGAAACGATGAAGGTGGACAGACAGAGAGAAAGATGACGAGATGACACGATTGTCTCCTTCTGGCTTTTCACATTAAAGAAGTACAAGCAACACTTGGCAGAGAAGGAACCAGAACCCCCTATTTTAAATAAAACACCCCTCAGCTCCCCAAAACAACCTTTTTTTTTCCCATTTAATCTCTTGAACTGCTGTTATACTCTTCTTCTTGGTCTAAGGTCCTCTTCCTCATCCTCCTTCTGCATCTATGTAACATTTTTAAAAACTGTTTCAATAAGACGCAACCAGTCATTCTGTAGCATATCTTTATATATATATTTTTGTCCTTTTTGTTTTTCTCTTAACAGAATGACAGCAGTTTTTAGTTTACCACATGTCCTTCTTCCCCTGCCTGTACAGACACCACAGGTATTAATGACGGCTGCTGGGTTTTCAATAAATAATACAGGGAATAAATCCCATTCTGAGTGTCTTCCTTTCATCTCCGCAGCTCATTTAGAGAAAGAATAAAATCCTCTGTCTTCAAGCTGTTCCACTCACATGTCAGGAGGTTTCGGTTTTAAATTACAAATAAGTTTATCTGAAACCAGTGATCAGTGAGTGCTACATTTTAAGCACTACGAACCACCCAAAACAAAAGGCTTTACACCAGACCTGTTACCAGACATTTTCTTGCCAGTTTTCCTGTCACCTATGTAAACAGGTTCTTGCGGTATTCTAACATGAATTGAGTTTTGATTAGTTTTATGGATCAATATAAACAATCTATATAAGATCAGTGTGTTATTAATGTAAATTAGGTTTTTTCATTTTTTAATCTCAGGAGGACTTCATTCTTAATGCAGAGGAGTCCAAACCTTGTCAAAAGTACTCAAAGGTGTTAATAAAATATCTTGTCAAATATATTTTTGTGCTACATTATGCAGACATGCAATATTTTAATGAGTCATTTTTCTGTTTGATAATTTGTCAATAAAATACTAGTTAAAGTCCTCTTGTGTAGCAAACGTGTGAATCCTAAATCCAAAACTTAAAAGCGTTTTGTATGGAAGGCCATTTCTGCCAAAAAAGAAAAATAAACGTCCAAGAGGAAGTTCTAATTCCACGTTTTGAAGTCAGAGCTATGAGATGCCGTAGAGAAACAGTTTGTCTCATAATTATGACCATCATGGCAGAAATGGACTTCCATAGATGTGCAAATTTCTAGAAAAAATCTAGAAAACATTGTCCTCTCAGCAATAAGAGCAGGATTTGGGTCACACTCTTTGAAAACATTTAATGCATTTAGCCAATTTTAATAAAATTATTCCAAAAAAATATTTTGCTGCACCAAAGTCCAGTTTTTGATGAAAATCGACAAGTAGAGTGAATATTTTCCTTTAAGATTTTAATTTGTACTACTTCACTCTCACCCTTTATAAACCAGTAGACGTCACAGAACTGTTGGAATTTATTTATTGACAGGACCAATGAAAAGATTCCCTTTACTAAACGGAACAGCAGTGCGTCTCAACATGGTCATTTGGTTGGAACTGAAAACATCAGGACGCATTCTATTGCTATGGATACAGATGGAATACAAAAACATTTTGCTTGTACAGTTTCATGTCATCTCCAAAGTGGGAACAAGAACATGTCCAGGTCATGCGTTAAGGCAACACAATCATCAACTCCCCCCGAACATTTAAATCTCTTTCAGAACCCCATCGGTTCTGATGGAACTGGATTTCATGCATTGGTCTTCATCTAACTGAATGCACAAATGAAAAAAAATACAAAAATATTTGTCTTAAAACAAACCCAGATGGAAACCCATAAAACTGAAGTGGTTTCACTATGATCTACGGATTGTTCTGGATTCAAAGTCCTGAAATGTTTCTCTGATCCACTGTAACGACATGCTGAGCAGAACCAGGTAACGTCATATGAAAACCAATATTGAAGTTTTGTCGTCTCCTCACTGTGTTGATCCATTTTGCAGTCGATAGAAAATATAACCAAAATCAGACACTTTCAAGGCATTTTTTGATCCCATTGTAAAGAAAACATGTTTAAGCAACAGCTGCCACATTGTCGACATGAATGGACCAAAAATAAATTTTATTGGTAAACAAACAAAACACCAGTGGTGTCAAAACGAGAAAACATGAAGCAGCACACACTGTAAAACAGAGTTCATCTCCCAAATCCTACCATCTATGATGAACTGAAAAAATAAAATCATTTTTCAACCTTTGGAAAAACCAGGTTTTAAGTCGGAGTAAAAAGAATTATTTTCAATACTTTAAGAGGAACCGAAAACAAGATTCCAGCATTATTTTTCTCAGACGTTGTGGAATCACTAGATAAAACCCAAACCTTAATTACGTAGTTAAGTTCAGATTTTAGACTTAATGGTAAATAAATAAAATAAGAAAAATCGGGGAATCGGTACGGAAAAAATGCCTGTGTTGTTTTTTTGTTTTATTTAAAAGACAAAGTTTGAAACTAAATGCGTCGGAACACTGCAGCTTGATCTTTAGACAGGAAATAAGCAGAGCAGCAGATCACATGGTGTCCATGTAAACCCACAGAATGTAGGACCACAAAAAAAAAAAAAGCACCTCACCAGCAATGTTCCCTCTAAGCTCGCACTGCTCACATAGCGCAGCTTTCTATGAACCCAGATTTATAATAGTTGTGCGTGGCCACGCTGTGATGCCCATGCTGTGATGCCCACAGTGTCCACGCTGTGATGCCCACGCTGTGATGGCCACGCTGTGATGCCCACAGTGGCCACGCTGTGATGCCCACAGTGCCCACGCTGTGATGCCCACGCTGTGATGCCCACGCTGTGATGCCCTCAGTGTGCTCAGGAAGCTTGTGTGTATGCCCAGACACATGAACACTTAGAGGGAACATTGCTCCCCAGTCAAAGTGATGAGGAGATAAATTCAGAGAAACAATACTGGTACTGATTAGTCAATGTGACAACATGTCCAACAATACACATTTCAGCCACCAGATGGCATTATTCACTATCAAATTAGCTTGTACTGCTCAGAAATGTTGTTCCAGTACATATTTCAGTTCTTTTTGTCTTTCAGCTTTACTTTCTTACAAAACATCAATGCACAAATGAAAAAAATACAAAAATATTTGTCTTAAAACAAACCCAGATGGAAACCCATAAAACTGAAGTGGTTTCACTATGATCTACGGATTGTTCTGGATTCAAAGCCCTGAAATGTTTCTCTGTTCCACTGTAACGACATGCTGAGCAGAACCAGGTAACGTCATATGAAAACCAATATTGGACAAACAAACTGACAGCCACTCCTCCAAGGAGTGTAGAGATACTTTTCCGTGCCGTTTCTATGGTAACTACACCAGACTCCTGAGGAGGAAGGACAGGGCGGCCCCCAGGGACAGACCCAGGGCCAGGAAGAAGGTCATCAGGGCTCCTGCAGTCTCTGCATCTTTAGGCTCCACCAGTCTGGAGAAACACCACAAAACCAACTGGTTTTAGCTGCTAGTCGCTAAAGACTGTTTTTCAGAATGTTAACGTTACTAAAACATGCATGCAGACGTTTTCAGTTATGGAAAAAGATTTTCCATTCAGTTTGATTTCAAGAGACCGGTGGAGTGCCAGAAGCAACAGTTGTGCTTTGGAACGACTGAGGCGATTTTAGGGTTTATGTTTTACTGTCTTCTTGAAAATTATCAACCATTTTTGTTTTTGCTTCTTTGTTCTTTTATTGTTTGAGCTAATCAAATAAATCTTAATATCAGACAGGAATAATCTTATAGAGTTCTCAAATCACACACATAGAACCAGTCTGACTATTTAAAGGTCAAATGTTGTTTTTTGTTTTTAATTATTTAATAACCAAATTCCAGGACAGGTGAGATCAGAATGTGACAAAAAAATTATATGGCCTAGTCAAAGGCTGGATTTTCAATGGTCTAAGATGTTGAGGCATGCATGACCTTTGAAGAGGTCATAACTCAAAAGTTAAATGTAGTCAAATTTTTACAAATTGAATTGAAGTGTAATTTGTCAGTCATATTTTTTTCTTTAAAAAAAGAAAGTGGACCACACAGAATCGGTGAAGAAACCACAAAAGGCCCACGCGCCACACTTTGGACACCACTGCTTTAATGTGTTTTTGCTTGATAGTAAAATCAGCTTGAAGATCTTAAATATTAAAGAGTGGCAAACAGGTTAAGCAGAAAACTGAAGAAATATGGAAGGGAACAAATCCTTTCCATTTGTGCTGTAAATCACCATCAGTAACAATTACAGCATCGATGCCGTTCCCCCGTTCCTGAACAGCTCAGCTAAAATCACTGAAGATCATTTCCCTCCAGATTTATCTCCAATTTAGCTCACAACTGAGCAGCAACCAAGTGGGACAGAGCTCAGGGGTCAAAGGTCAGCTGCGGGGTACTTACTGCGGCGCGTAGGACATGGAGAGGCACACAAAGTAACCGCTGGACATGGAGAAAAGCGCCATGATGAGGGTGAAAACGGCGTCGTGGGAGAAGATGATGGGCAGGTGGGAACGCGGCTGGACGTTACACAGCATCAGCAGGGGGATGAAGATCACCCTGGCAACCACCAGGATCGGGAACACGCACGACTCTTTCCGAGGCTGAGGGAGAGAGGAAATGTTCAGTTCACATATCATCCTCTAGCATTTTCAAACTCAGGTCTATTTTGTGTAGGAGGAAGTGGCCAATAAAGGTGTTAATCTCTTAAAGTGACAGTACTCAAGTTAACCAGGTGCAATTTTTTTTTAGCCATGGTTTTTATTTGGCTCTAGTGATTTTTATTTGAAAGTGTTAAGACAGAAAAGTAGGTAAAGAGAAAGAGGGAAAGGTCACCAGGCCGGGAATCGAACCCGTGACGGCCACGTTGAGGACTGAGGCCTGTGATTAACCTCTGCACCACCACAGCACATTCAGCCATGTCCTCTAATAAACCATCGAAGAAACCAGGAAGATCAAACTACACACAGCTGGGCTGGTTGCTCCTGCATTAAATATATGCACTTTTCTGATTAATAAGAAAGAAAAATTATGTATTATTTTCCTTCGCCACAGAAGATTGTTGTCATTTTTTCCATGTGTGGGATGCTTCACTATATAAACATGCTGGAACATCTGATTCATATTTTACATGTTTGTCTTTACAGCATCGTGTTTGAATTTATAAAGAAAATGGGAGGAAAAAATGGCGAAAACTCATTAAATATATTGATCGTAACAAAAAACAGGAGTTTTTTCACACAGAAATGACGATTTAGGCCCTCTGAAAAGGAAAATAAGTTGTCAGTAAGCTAAAAAAAGAAACAGATGTCTAATAAAATATTATGAGCTATTCAAACCCCATGCAAATGCTATTTAGTCTTCTCTTTTAGCACACTGTGAAGACAAAAAAGTAAAAAAAAGAAATGGAACTACCCTCACCAATATAGATATACGTTACAGAAAGAAGAAGATAGTAAAATAAAACAAAAAAAAAAGATCAGAGTCATTTTTCTTGTTTTCCAGTTGGTTGGATTCTCACCCAGTGGATCTTTGTAGTGACGGTCCGGCCAAACCAGTCGTTAATGTTGAAAACCAGGAAGCAACAAACCTCGATAAAGAAGCGTCCTGAGAGAGGAGGGACAATTTAGGTAAAGTGGCTCCAAGCTGGATGCAGATCTTCTCTGAATCAGCGCAGCTCACTCTTACCCCATCTTCCATCTGGGAATGCTGTTTGGACGTCGACAGTGACGGCGGGGAATACGGAGAGAGTGACGGTGAACACAAACGTCACGCAGAACGCCATCACCCGAATCTGAGATAGGAAGAAAAAAACAGTTTGTACACTAGAGAAGCAGCAAAGAGAAAACGAGGCTTCCCCATCCCCAGAATTTCATTCCGTACCTTTTTAAACACTTCCAACACCGAGGCTTTTTCTGCAGAGCTGTTGGCCTCTTCGCTCCGGTCTGGACTGATTTCCAGCTTGGCCTCGTCCTGACTGATGCTGTAGAGGGCTGTGCTGGCCACCGCGCCGTTAGCGTGGCCATTTGGCTTCCCGTTCTCCAGAGGCTTTCCGTCTGCAGTTCAGAGCATTCTGGTCAAGATTTCATTCTGCTTACAGCTGTAACTAACAGCACATTCACACCAGTCCTAACATGCTAATTTAGCGCTAGCAGGAGAAATACAAGAGACATCCTACAACTGCTCAAATCTGACACCACTTCGTTTCATGAAGAAGAAAGTTGTGCCAAGTGTCTTTTTCAGAGGTTTCATGTCATTTCTTTCAGAGGTCCTTGGTGCAGCGCCACCCCAGGTAGCATTTGTAACAAACATGGAAATTTTGTTCCTGGTTTACCATCGGTCATGAAAACATCATAACTCTCCAAAACACTGAATAAAAATACACACTTACTTTTGAGGTTTTAATTTAATAAACAATGTGAAGTTTTCCTTCCGCTTCACTTTGTGTTAGTCTGTCTCATAAAACGTCACTGAAATATATTTAAATTTAAGGTTGTAAGAAAATAAAATGTGAAAAGGTTCTGCTTTTTCACAGTTGGTCATACAGACAGATGGCTTTATCATATCCTTCACATCTTCTGTCTAATTCGTGTCAGTGGAGGCACCTCAGGGCTCGAAGCAGGATGGAAATTGTGAGTGTGTGAGTGAGTGTGACATCTAACAGAGCCCTCTTTGTCTGGCTTTTAACTGGATAAACGGAGAGTCAACAAACCTAATGAGATAATGTTCCAGTGAATTGATTTGGCTCAGGCAGACTGTGAAGCACACATTTATGATCCCATTTCTGCTCGGCCTAAACAAAGTCTCACCAGTCAGCAGCTTGTCCCTTGTGCCTTCTTCATACTTGGTCTTTCTGTTCAGGTAAAACTGAGCAAACTCCTGCAGAGAAACAACAACGATGGAATTTCAAACAAGTCCAGACAGCACTATAAAAACAGGGCAGAACTGAATAAATCTACACTGGTTATCAGGCAGACGAAGCAGCTTTTACTGTCATATAATGATAACAACCCATTCGGTGTCGTACTGACCATGCGTGGCAGCAGCAGGTAGCTCAACAGGGTGACCAGAGTTCCCACACAGGGTGTGATAAAGTAACCCAAAGCAGCAGAATCAAAGTCTGCATCACCTGCGTCAAAACAGGGAACAGAACGAGACTCGGCATGAAACACGTACTTGAAATTAAACAATTTTAATCAGGGTTCACACGTTTTCCCCCATAGCAAATTTTATGCATTTTCAAGGTGACTTTATTACAAAACTGTGCAGTTGGATCAAGCACTTTCAAACCCTTGAAAACACCTAAATGAGGTTATGTGGGGTTATGTGTTTGCGTGTGGGAGCGACTCACTGGCTTTGGCGAGCAGCATGGCGATGGCGGCGAAGGTCCCGGCGAGGCCCTGGCCGCTCATGAAGATGGCGCTGTACTTCTGCCGCAGCAGGCCGACCAGGCCGAACAGGCTGCCCTGCAGCACGGCGCCGAACGCTGCGGACCAGCAACACATCACAACACGAACAAAAAAAAAAAAACAAAAACTGATGCTTCTGGACACCTTCAGACCAAGAAACTCACAATTGATGAACCAGATCGTTGCCATGGTGACAGAGAAGAAGAGATCCTGATTCATGTCCACTTTCACCAGGACTGCGGTGAGGATGAAGAGCAGCAGGATGAAGACGAGGCTGCCTGCGATGCGGATGGCCTCCGATATCCTGGGACAGAAAACGTTTTGGCAATCGGGTCGCACTAGGACCGACAGCTCACCACCAGGACGGCGCCGCCTGTCAGCACTGACCTCTGGTACATGAAGGAGTTGAGCAGGGTGAAGACCAGCAGGGGCAGCTGGGACAGAAAGGTCATCCAGTTGTTGAAGTGATACTCCTTCCTGACCGCTGTCCCGTTCTTCAGCTCCGTGCTGTTGAGGCGGCTTTGGAAGTACTGCCAACAGAGAGCAGGAGTCAATTCAGACCATTTAACTCTGATCCAAAAACAATTGATCTTTTTTAGCAGGTTTTCCTCCAGTATTTTATTCACAAATACTTCATTTATCCCAAAAGGGATAAATGAGTCATTGTGGATGGAAGGATCTCCACAAGCAGTCAGTGTTTCAGTGAATGTAAAGGAGCTTCTGACCAAAGACAGCTGCTGTGTAAAAGTCTTATTACTGTTATGACAGGCAAACTAGTTGTGAAGCCATTGACTTCTCTAGCAACTACCTTGATAAATCTAGCTGCTCTTTTCCAAAATAGGGACCAGCAACAAATCTAGAGACTTTTCATGAAAATGACTAGCAACTTCTTCCCCCAAAGAATTAGCAACTTTTCCCAAAAAAAAAAAAAAACATAAACAGCTAGTGACAAATCTAGCACCCGTCACATCTTTTTGTCTGGAAAGATGTAATTTGTTCTGTAATCAATTAATAACTAACTTACCCATGTGAACTTTTAACTAATAAGGTAAAGCTGAAAGCAAATGGTTGAAACTGGATATTATTTCGGGTTACTTTGGGTTAGCAAAAGACGCTCATTACTCCTTTCAGTTTGCATTGGTAAAAAGTAAGAAAAGCATGCCTCCTTTTCCCTTTCCCTTGATTATTGCACATCGTCAACAGACTGTGTCTTGGTCTGACTCATTTTTATTGAGGCATTTTGTTCCAAGATCTTCTGAAAAAAAAAAAAAACAGCTTTAATGTAACCAGAAACGCCTCTTGTGTCGTAGGAGTCATTTTCCAAAGCCATGTTTGTTTGCAGCACAGTTTAACCGTTTGATAGCATTGTTATCAGTTAAAATGTAGCCAGTCTCTCCTTCTTTCCAGTCATTAACTGCTACCGTTTGACTTTTACAGCCTCTGCTGCTTATTGTTTTCTAAACTCGACTCCTAACAGCCTGTTTTCTGATGAAGAACTTACATGATAATGTTGATAATGTCTGATTGAGGGCAGTCACTTACAGCTTGCTTTAAAACAAATTTCCTGTTCTATAGATCCCTCTCTTTCCATCTTCTCTAAGTAAACCGCTGATGAACCCACATCCTTCTTTTCATATTCTGTCAAATACATCATTCCTATGGAAGCGTTTCAATCCTTCTTCTTACCAGTGAGGCAGTCATGAAGAAATTCCACGGCAGCAGCGTTCCCAGGCCAAGAATGAAGAAGATGATTCCCACTAAGCACCACCTAGGGATTATGAGAGGAAATGGGGGGAAAGAAGAGAAAAAGATGGATGTACAAACCAGAAGTTTCAGCAACAGGGTCCATGTTGGTTTTATGAATAAGAGGAAGCGACGGTTTGGTGTTTCACTCACCGGTCCTGTGGAGTATCAATTCGGCCTTTCATGGTGACGTGTGGAGATTCTGCTGAAACCAGAGAAAAAAAAAAACGAAAAAAAAAAATAAACGTCACAATCCTGTGAAATGCTTAATATTGTAACAAAGTATTTATAGATTTCAAGGTTGAAATCTATTACCACTGAATGTTTGTTTAAAAAAAAAAAAAAAAAGGTACTTGCACATTTAGTGACTTACCCATAAAGTTATCAAGATGTTTTCTGGTCAGTTACACCAACTTTTTTTCTTAGGTGCACCAAATTCTAAAAAACCTTTTTTCTGGTGTCTGACTCATCATGTTATAGATTTTATTTTTTTTAACATTTATTTAGTCTTGCTTCATTCATGTTATTTTAGTGCATTTATCACTGAAGATTTCATAAATAAAATGCAACATCACTAGGGGTGAACAGGTAAATTTGACCTCAATTTCTTTAATTTTGAGGTTTTTAAAAAATGGCACATTCTGCATTTATTAAGCTTAGTTGATGGCATAAAAGCTGACATAAAAAATCCACTCCTTTCTTTTGAATAAGAAAAGTTAAGTTTTATTGCCTAAAATGCAGTAACAGCTTTCCTTTAGTGAACGCTCGATTGTTGGTTGGATGAGTCAACAGCTACAAAATACTTCAAACATGTCAAGAGCTCAGCCTTTTCTGCTAGGCTTAACTTCAATGCAGTGTAGAAATGATCTGTTAACTATTTTTTGGATTCACTAATTAATAATTCCATAGCAAAATGTGCTCAATAGGAGAAATTTTTAGAACAGAATTTTAACTAAGTAAAGCTAAAACTGCCACTTGAGGAGTTCTGGGTAGAACAGCTTTACAGACGACGGTTTTTATTTTATATCTTAAACATTTTTGGCTCAACGACTGCTCTGAATGTTCCTCTTTCAGCAAATGTCCTCTATTTCTCCAGTTAACAATCGATTACTAAATCAGTTGACATTTCAATAACCAATTCATCATGATTAACCCAATTCATTGTCTCAGTCTCACAAATGAAACCGATCTCATCCACCGATCTTATCTGCCTCTGCAAATGTTTGAGAAATTATTCCAATCATCAAATCAAATATCATTGTCTTCTTGACAATTTAAACTTCTGTGAGACACTTTGTTACATCCGATTGCATTAAAAGTGCTCTCTAAATAAACCCTGATGGATTTATCGACAGAGCAGAATCCCACTAACATCAGGAGTGAACATGTCCTCCAGTGGAAAGAGCAAACAGACCGAAGGTTCAATGACTTCCTGTTTGTCGGAGCAAACAGGACTGGGAGGCTGGAAGCAGTCCCAGTCTGACCACCTTTGGTTTAGATGTGAGGTGAACATGAACACACATCGGTTGGGAAGCCGTAGCTGAAAAAACTGCCCCAACAACCTAATTTTGTCTGATTGAGTTTCACAGAATCATCTGTTCTTGTCTCATTTGTCAGCATTCAGCTTTCCTGTTTCTAACTAACAAAAGTGCCTGAGTCACAGTCATGGAAAAGTAAACGCACACAATCTACGTCACTCAAACAACACAATGCAGCACAGAAACGTACACACACACCTTTATAGCCTTGGGATTCTTCACAAAACACCTGAATGTTTCATCAGAGTGACTCATAGTAGCTTTCCTTTACCAAGATACCTGGAAAAAGGTTATTCAGAACTCATAACATTAGTTCACAGCATGTAAAATGATGCCAAGTAGAATTAATTACAATGTCCTTGTAAATTATGAAACAGGGAAAAACAAAGGTGATAAAATCTCCTGGTGTTCTAATAAAACATAAAGGCAATGCTCAGAAAGCCGCCGCCTCCGGCTTTAATATTCCCAAATGCTTTGTCCTTCTGGAGAAATTCCACTGGGGCTTAATGATTCACTGTTCTACCAGGGGGACGGACAGGCAGCTGTCTGTGTTTTTCAAGGACAAAACCGCCTCAAAGGATGCAGTCTGAACACCTCCAAACCCTTTAAAAGCTGCTTAAAACACTTCTGGACGCACATTGTGTAACTAACTGTTTCACTAAAAGTAATAAGAATTAATTCTGTATTTTAAGCAGAATAGAATCCATTAGATTTTCCCCCTGAAATTTCACTTCCTCTGTTTTCATTTTTTATTTTAACTATTTATGAACCCAAAGAGTATGTAATAATGATGTGAATGACTAAAAATTAAGAAGTCAAAAGAAAAAAGTTAACATTTATTGTAATTCTGTTTCACAACCATACAAACTGCTGTAGTCCAGCAGAACAAGGTAACTAGCTGCAGCTAGCAAGCTAGCTTCATCTCCATGTTTCCGTGTGATTGTCGTATTCTATGTATGTATATACAATCTGTATATTCTGTACAATATTTACTATGTTACACTCGCGCCTTCGGTCAACCGTGTGCCGACAAAACGTACATAAAATGTTTCTGATGTTTCATAAAACTGAGTGATTCATTTATTTCCTGGGAAGACATTGGTGTTTCAGAGTTAATTTTTTATTTGCCAAAATTACTTCTTCATTCTGTGTGTTTGGGAAGGACAGAAGAGCCCAGCGCTACAGTGGGTCCGAAACACTTCAGAAACTAAACAATATCTATCGCAACAGACACTTAATCAATATCAATAGAAAACATGTCCAACAGAACGTTCAAAAATGTCACTGAACTTCAATCCAGAACCACACGGCATTCTGGAGGAGGAGGTAGACAAAGGCTTTATATGCGCAACGTCTCACGGTGAGTTATGCAAGATGAGTACTGTCAACTAACTTACTCGCTCTTTGGTGACCAAGCAACAACTTGTTGACTAACTTGTGCAGCAGCATTTTTGTGTTTCGTCACCATGCTTTCAAAAAGAAAAACACACAAAACAATTGTGGCGTGAGAGGAGAAAGTGAGTAAAGCAGATAAGGCAGGAGTTACATTTCTATCTTAACCATATTGCCATAATGGGCGACATGGTCACTAATAACCATATCACCCAGTAATGCAAAAATCTGCATTTTATTGTGGATTCCGTATTGTTTATTCTGACTCCCTTCCTGCATCAGAAACCGTAGGATCCAACGTAGCTGCTGGATTTCAAGCTGACAATCTTGAGATCAGCTGATCTGATACACTCTAAACAAACTCACTATCCATATTTGTACAAATTCTTCTTTCCCCTAAATCATTCAGATGCTTTTATTTTCAATTTTCAAAGAAAAAACAAAAAACAACGTGAAATTTCAGGCTGAATATTCATTGAACGTGAGAATCTCTCGTTATTTACTTGTCTCTTTTTCTGCTCTTCGCAACAACATTACCTTTAACCCAGTTAGATTCTGTTGTTACGTGACGCAGATGACAAAAAGATTAACATGATAAATCTGGATGAGATCCTTCCATTTTTACCTTAAAACACTCCCGGCACAAGTGGGAGCTTGTTTTATGGCAGTATAGGTCTTCCCTTCACACAAGCACAGATAAAAAGCTTACAAATTATTTCAAAGGATCACATTTGGGTTTTGAAATCATCCTACATTCATAACATTTTGTATAACATATTTTAAGTGTAAAGGCTAAAATCTAGGACTGCACGTTAACATGAGAAACCTTCTTGTTATAATGAGATATTCTCTCATTAAAACACATTTACTTTCTTGCCTTGACAAGAGACGTCTCAACAGTAAAGTCAAAACACAAAGTGTCACCTGGATGAGAAAACAGAGTCAGAGGTCGCAGTTCACTTTTTTGTTGTCCGTCATTTTGACTGTTGGCGTCAGAAATACTTTGTCATGTTCTATTTTTATCTATCAATTTTAAATTATACCAACATAGGCTATTTTGTCACATTTAATATTAAACAAGTTGAACACACATTCCAGACCCCATCACACATTAATCAAACAGACTAACTTTTCCTCCTCAGCGATAAAAACCACCGACCCAACATTTCACTTACTTTGACTCCATATAAATAATAAGCGCTTCACCTGCTGGGGTCTGAGCACGCAGCCACACAATTTCCTCCTGGTTCACATCTACAGGAAAAATCTGCACTAAAGTTTGGATCGGACCCAACCCGGACCGAGTCCAAAGACATTATGTCTGAGCCCAACCCAGCTTTAATTGGAAGCTGGAGCCTGAAGTAAACCTGTCCCAACCGATTCATTTAATTAAGTTTTTATTGCTTGGTTTTCAGAGCGCCATTTCAAAAGGCAGCACAATTTTTCCCAACTTTTTTTTAACATCTTCCAGTTCCATTTTGTCTTTTGTTGTAACACAGACAAAATCTCCTGGGATTAAAAAAAAAAAATTAAAATATGCCAGTCAAAAAAAAAAAAAAAATTCATTAATACAATCAGTTGTCACAATCTGTCAGAGGGACATATTTTTACAAAAAACTATTGTTTTAAAGAGACACTTCTCCTGTAATTGTTTCCTTGCTTATCAGTCAAACCCTTCCATTATAATAACTTGGCAACTACATCAATCTGGAGACAGCTTTGTTATAGAAAAACAAATAAAGTACTTATTAGATCACATTTATCCATTTGTATGAACTCTTTTAAATTAGTTTTGCAGCTTTAAGGAAACTGTTGCATTTCTATCTTAAATATTAAATGTTCCCATGGATACCATGATATCTTGAAACTCTGTCATGTTCACCCAACATCCTCGTACCGTCAGAATCTCATCCAGGTGGATGTCTTGTCAGATACGTCAGCCACGTTGCTTGTAGTTTTAAAAACAGCCTTAGTTTGAGCAATAGTTTCAAGCTTTAAGAGTTTTCACCGTTTTGAATCTGTGATGGGATAAAAATATCAGAGCTCATTCATTTGTCTGCATTAAGTTTCATAAACGTTGTCATTAGAAACATCCAGATCTGAACCAAGAGTTCAGATCATCTCATCATTAAGATGCCTTGTTGCTATTACTACAATGATGCTAAACTGTAGAATAAACTTCAATTCAAAGTAAAGCAAAAGAGTAATACTGAAGTTCCAATTGAATGATAGATCAATGAAATAGTTACAATATGGCTGCAAAAAAAAGACTATGTGTAACTAGGAATGCTAAAGAAACTTGATATCATGAGTCATAAAAACCAGTCTAACATCTTTATCAAACAAAGAACATGTCAGTGATGACACTTAATACTGTTAACCATTGAAAATGGTTAACAGTGACAGGGCCCATAAGTTTTCAAAGATTTAGGATATTTTTGTAATGAATGCATGCTTTCATGAATGTATACAATATTCAATTATTTGGAAATTCATATTTTCTAGTTAATTTTGGGGATCACCTTGGAGCTATCTCACATGGGATGAGCTATCTCATCCCATGTGAGATAGCTCACATGGGATGTTACGCGTAGAAATACGCGTATTTAGAAATACGCGTAGGGGCGTATTTCTAAATACGCCCCTACGCGCACTTGTTCGACTAATTTAAGAAAGCACCATTATCAACTTCATTCACAAAATAATAACTTTGATGTAAATTCATCCTAAATGTCCATCAGTTCAAACACATAACAATGAGTTTTATAAGAAAGAGAACCGAAGCAGCGAGACGTTTCATCACCCAGACCACAGGAAACTAAATAACTTACAAATGTAACAGTTTATTCAATATTTCTAATTCAAACTTAGGAGTTTAGCTGTAGCTCGGGCTCGTGCTTCCACACCACGCTTTGCTAACATGATGCCAAAGCGAGACTCACCTTGAGGAAATGTTCCCGTTACTATATCTCTATAATGCTCCTGCCGTCCATAGCGAGCTGCTTATTATCTACACGGTCTGATACAACTGAGTAGAAAATAAAACTATAAACTGTTTCTGTCTAAACACGTGGAGAAGAGACAGCGGGAGCGTAACAGCCTCAATTACAGCGCAGGAGTTACGGCGCAGCGGTAACTCCTCCCCTTTTAAAATCACTTCCGGTTGGCGAGAACGTGAAGTTCCACCGGCCTTACTGTAACCCACTGCCAGACTGGAGGAACCGGTATGGCGACTTCACCTGTCGGAGATATTAGGCAATTCAGAATGAATTTATTAAATACCAGAGTCTAATTATTCTGTTGAAAGTCAGAAGAGTTCCAGTTCCGGGTGTTATATAGCAGCTGGAAAATTACATTAGGTTATAAAGTGAGATAAGCTATTTTTAAGTTTAATCCTATTCGTGAGGAAACACAATAAATCCTCAATTTTAATGTCAGCAGCATTTTTTCTGCCTGAATTTGGCTCTATTATAATTATTTGTTCTCACAACTCTTAGCAGCAGGTTGTTGTTTTTTTTCATTGTCTAATTAATTTGATCACTGTGTATATGTTCCCTAAAATCACTCAAATAGCAGTAATCATTCATGTTAGTTGAATGCTTTTTTTTCTCTCTTTCTATTTTGGCAATATGAAATTATCTCTATAATATTTCTATGTTGGGATTGTTCATAAAACAGTGCTACGGCGCAGAGCGTTATGCTCCATGTGAAAAGAAAAGGATGAATTGGATAAACTGTTTCCATCCTGCAACAGAACTTCTGTGTTTTTGCGCCCTCTGCCGGTCAGACCAACAGATACAATTGAGGGTAAATCTCAGTGCTGGTGCTGATTTTTGGGTTCTAGAGACAAGGTGGAGATTGAGCCCAGATCTGGAAACTCCAATAATCTTTTTTTTATTTAAGAAAATCTAGGCAAATTTTTTAGTTACAAAAAAAAACACCCCTTTTTATTTACGTAGTAGTAATTTTTCTGACAGCTGGGCTCCAGAGTAAGATGTGGTGCATTTTGTGAAACACAGCACTAGTTTGCAAATATTTTATGATTATGCTTTCCACATCGGACATACTAGGCATAAAAAGTAATCGCCTGGTCTTGCAATATATTTGTTTCAAACTTTGATT